AAATTAAATAAAAAATAGGCTAAAAATTCTGACAAAAATCAGGAACATTCAGCCATTGATGTTGTACATGAACAAATCACCATCACAGATATTGATGGCAGACATTTGGCATCTAAATTTTAAGATAATTACACATTTATACCATCATATACACTAGAAAGGTTGAGCGCGCTTTGCTGCATCGTTGTTGTTATTGGGTTTTCATAAATTTTTACGCCTTCATTTCAAAATATAGCGTGTATTAAGTTTTTGAGAAGTTAAACCATTTAGTGACCACATTTATAGAGAAATATATCTATGTCCACACTACGGATCGGTATCTTATTAGAATCATCTTGAAAGGAATTTTCATATTTTATTTAATTAGTGTTGTGGATGTCGAAATTTTGCCCTCTAAACTTTGTCAAAAGTTAAAGAAATTTGTCTTTTTAACAAACTAGTAGATCTTATATTTTGAAACTGAGAGAACATTTGGTTTGGCGAGTGGAGGAGATGGAGTGTTTTTTTTATATAATGCGGGATATTTTTGTGGGACTTTTGCGTCTGATTCTATCTTATCTGCGAATCAACCCATAATTATGTGGGATTTTTTTTTTGCATCGACGTCTGCATGTACTATATCGATGCCACATAATCACGTGCTGATGCTTCTTTATTTTAGATGATGAGAGGGTGCCCGGGATTGATATGTTTTTATAGGCCGGTTGCTGCCGATTAATTTGAAAAATTGTTGACCGGGTCAAAATGTGAATCAGTTCTAAAATTGAATACCTCAATCGGATGGCAGAGCTCCAAGTTAGGGAGCATGGTAAATTAAAGGAAATGAATGAGAGAAATCCTTGAGAAGTTGTTGACCCAATCAAAATCGGGTGATCCAATTCAAAATTTAGAGACGTCAACTGACCGTGAGGCCTTAAAAATAAGGGATCGTAGTTTTTAGCGCCAAGATTATTCCACATGTATTTTTCATTACCAAATCTAGCTCATAAGTTTTCAAAGTATGAGCTTCGCAGAATTGTTTTTTCTCTTGAAATAGGAAGTAAAAGTCAGAGGAACATCTGCTTACATGTACTCCCTCCGGTCCTTTTTACTCTGCACATTGGTTTTGCCGAAAGTCAAACTTTGCTAAGTTTGACCAAATTTATATTAGAAATTATTAGCATCTATAATATTTAATAAATATAATATGAAAATATATTCCAAGATGAATCTAATGATATTGGTGTTGTTATGTGAATGTCTATAATTTTTTATATAAACTTGGTCAAAGTTGAATGAGATTGACTTCAGACAAACCTACTATGCGGAGTAAAAAGGACCGGACGGAGTATGACAGTAACAACTCTGTGAAATATCACTAACCACTTCATTTTTTTTCAAAAAGGGGTGACTCCCCGGGCTCTGCATCAGAATGATGCATACCGCCACATTAATAAATACTCCCTCTGTCCGGGTTTATTAGGCCTAAAAACAACTTCTCTTAGACCAAGATACATCGTAATTTGCTCACATTAATTCTTTCATTCCACTCCCAATGCACTCTCTCACATGCATGCAGCCAATGAAAAAGCATGCATGAAGTGTATTAATTGTCTATCATGGCACCAACAACAATGACTTTCAATGCAACCAATGAAATGGTTGCATGCATGCATCTTTTCAAAGCGACGCCTTATAAAAAGGGACATGCTTGTGATGCTAAGAGGCCTAATAAACCCGGACGGAGGGAGTAGATAAAGAAGTTTAACAAGGTCTTATAGTCTGAAAATAAATAAATGGCTAGCTCACAAAGAGCCACAATGCCAAAAGCAAAAGGCCCAAAAGCCATAACTGGCTGGCATAAGAAAGATAGGTAAACTAATCGCCTATCTTATTACATGACCGCCATCCAAACCGGTTGAAGATATCCCGCGCTATCATTTCCCACCGGGCAGACCCAGTAACCAAACGCTCCCTGGCCTCCGTCGGAGTGAGTAAGGACCTGCAAAAAATGAATAGTTGTTGTTCTGTTAAAAGCCAAATCATTTCTGCAGTTTTAAATTGCCCATAACAACGCACATACTCCTACGCGAATTTGTCTAGCTGTTAACGAATTGACCGAATTCAGAGGAGTAATGTTAAAATCAATTTGCACCGTGTGCCACAACACTCTCACTAACCACTACATGAATTCACATTAATATCACAAGCGTCTTGCCGCAAAAAACCCCTTACAAGCATCTCCAAAGAAGACAATAAAATGGAATGAATCTAAGAGAGTAACAACTCAAACAATCTCAGGAGCTTGCTCCTGTTGGGTTCATGCACTTTATGCAAGAACAGACGGTGTACCCTATACAGAGCTTGATCCCCTAAAACCCTCATTGCATCGACATCTTGCTTCAGAGTAGTTGTATAGGCGTACGACAAGGAGTAATTTCTTGAGATAAGTGGCTCCGCGCCCTTCCCTCTTTGTTTTCTGTGAGTGATTTAACTTGAAGCTCAAGGACAGCTTTGAGACAGTTACATCACACAATAAGTTAACAAC